ATGGCTGCTGCTGCCCAGGTGGAGGAGCTGCAGGTCTGCGGTGGCAGTGGCAGAGGCCATGGATGGAGGCCAGGACGACCAGCTGCCGGGAGGAACGGCCAGAGTCCCAAAATTGTCTTGGGATTGATCAGGAGATACCTAACCCGGTCAGAGCTCCACACAGGAACTTTAACTGAAACTTGAATAACAACGGGAAATGAAATCCTTGGAACTTTGGTTCTATTTGGTCCTATTGCTATAGGATACAATAGCCTTCTCCCTGCAGGCAGCTTTTGCAATACTGCAGCAAGAGTAATCACTGGTCTAGATTATGCTTTCAAAGCCTAACTTTGCTGTAAAATTCCCTTTCTCTCATATGGAAAAAATGGCAAGCATTTGCATAAAAGGGATAAAATTTCATTTCTTTCTGCTCACTCTCAGGATATTCAAAGGATATTGTACCGCAGATTTCTTCTGTCTTCCATAGTTAATTTACCACTCTCGAAAACATCATTCAAACTGTGAGTGAACCAGCGGTAATGTACACATCGGATTTGACTCTAGAAAGTATTACCGTCATGCGATACATATCAGCATCCTCATACAGTCATACCAAACACTAGAGAACTCCTAGTAAAGACCAAAAATACACTAAGAGGCAAAATAAATAACTCTCGTACTTCCACTGAACTCGGTGTACTGCAATAAGACACAAAACAAGGTTCTCTTTTAGTGAGAAACAGTCTTATTGATAAATCAGACAGCCTCTTCTTCCAGGCAAAGGATAATGTTAGTTAACTGGAAAATCTAGTTGCTTTAAGTTTAGTCTTCTAAAAAGCATCTAAACAAATGTTTATATAATTAATGCTGTTTTTTCCCCTTTGTATTTGGAAAACTAAGCATAAAAAATATTTTAATCTCATTCTGAAGTTATACCCAAGGTTCCCAAGTTATATTATACACAAACAAAACAATTCTATTGATCTCTAAATAAATCTTTATTTGGATCATAATTTTTTACCTGTTTGGTTGCTGTAATGGTTTTCTGGGCAGTGAACACATTCATAGCAGCATGTGTGTGGACTTTCTGTAACCTTTTTCATCTGTCCTGGTCTGCAATGCTGGGAACAGGTTGAGGTAACCTTCTGCCGCATGCAGAGAACAGTAAAGTGACCTGGTATTAGTCTTCATGTTCAAAATAAATAGCCATTTTGCATAAGAAAGAGGTTGCTTATACATAGACATTTTCTATTTTAAAACACTTCTCAAGATCCTGCAATAGCATCCATAGAAAAGACATAATGATTTGTTCATCTTAGGAAGCCCCTTAAAGCATTCACAAGGTATAGCACAATTTGAAAGCAAACGGTGATTGCTTACAGCTCACACGCTTGCTGAATGTGCAAGGTAGTAGAATACACCCAGGGAGGATTTGTCACTAAAAAGAGAACATGAAAGTACATAAAAGATTTCTAGCTGTTAAATACTTCCATTACAAATCCCAGGCAGAGAAGAAAGTATATGAAGCAAATTTCACATGTTATGCCAAAAAAAAAGGTTACCTTTAACTCTAGAAATTCCATTTTTTTCTCCTCATCCTTAAAGATAAAACAATCCTTCTTGGTGTTGTATTCTGCCATCGTGGTGATTTCCATGCGGCCATCAATTTCTTTCCAAAGAAGAACATCATAATTAGTGCTCATATCTCCTTTGGAGTCAAACTTGATTTCTTTGTCATCATCAAGGACTGTAACTTTTTTCAGTTCTTCAAGGAGCTGAATGTAGATATAAGAAACAACGATATGCATCAGTATTATTTCAGTGTGATAAAATCAACAGTCTAACTTAGATACAATGATATGAAGTTGAAAAGAGAGAAATGCTGTTTTTTAGGAGTGAAAAAATCTTAAAATTTAAAGAGATTTTTATAACTGTTTACTCTGATGTTCTACAAAGAATTATGTTATTCAGGTAATGTGTGATGTATACAAATACACATATTAACATTCTTTTTCCAGCCAGGGAGATTTTGTTACAATGATGGGAAAGAAAAGGTTTTGCTTATCCAAAACAAAGTAGGCCTTTTTGGGATCCCTTCTTATAAAGTATTACCATGAATGATAATATTGCTGTTATTTTATTATACCCAGAGTAGATCAGAACAACATTTGCTTTCAGAGCAAGCTCCTATAGGGTCTGGAAATACCTAATTTAATATTATTTTCAGATGTGACTCTACTGCAGTGTGAGACTCAGCACTGTTAAATTAACAATAAATGCTGATTCACTCAGACAAAATAATATATGTCACAATGGCAATATATAGTACATCTATATCTATCATAGATATCTATATTTGATAGATCATAGGAAATACAAAAATCAAGATGCTCTAGAAAGACAACTGTCTAGGTTAATATTACAACCAATTCTGTTCTTTTTAATAGAGTGAAATTTCCTTCTTCCTCATCACAAACAGCCAGAGCAAGAAGAACCGAGAAGAGTTTGGCCCCATCCTCCCTACATTCTCCCCTAAGGTACATACAGAAGGTAAAATACACATTAATCGGAGGAGGATGTAGGGAGGATGCGGCCAAACTCTTCTCAGTGGTGGCCAGTGATAGGGCAAGGGTTAATGGGTACAAACTGAAACACAGGAAGTTCCACCTGCATATGAGGAAGAACTTCTCTGCGAGGGTGACAGAGCCCTGGAACAGGGCCAGAGACCCAGAGAGGTTGTGGGGTCTCCTTCTCTGGAGATCTTCAAAACCCGCCTGGATGCCACCCTGTGCCACGTGCTCTAGGTGTTCCTGCTGGAGCAGGGGGGTTGGACTAGATGATCTCTAGAAGTCCCTGCCAACCTCAACCATTCTGTGATTCTGTGAAGTTCCATGTGAATCTAGAAAAGGAAAGGGTTAAGACACATATAACTGACTCCAAACCTCAGGAGTAGACCATGAGAGAACCATTAGCCACACTGGTTCTGAACTGGAGGAGCAGCTTTATCGCTTCCCAGGTATAATAGTTTTAGGCAATAGGGGTGAATCAACATCCAACAAACAAGGTTTTGATGAATGGCTGAAATTAACTGTTCCAACTGAAAAGCTGTTGCATAGATCCTAGTTTGATAATTGTTGCATTTAAAGATGCTGCTAAGAGTATCTCCTTACAAGAGTCTGGCGCATAGAACTGAGAGGAAGTGTCATTATTTTGAGAGTTTATATACCTTCACTGTCCTTGCTGAATGTCCTGTAGTCTTGTGGGACTGTACAGGAAACTTCTTATTCTAAATCCCCAGTCATTTAATCTTTTTCCACCCTAATTTTCCGATTTATCTAAAAATATGGGAATAACAGGGCTTTATGTATACATCTTGAGCTTCAGGCAGACAGTGCTAATAATTTGCAACATTATTGAGTTAGTGAGTATTTCTGCAAAAGCTGTAACACCACTAACTGATTTCTCAGTATACGGAGATGTGTGATATGGATGAGTTTCAGGTTCAGCTTTATATATACCCACTTCTAGAGATTTTAGGTTCAGTGTATAGGAAAAATATAATGAAAACAGCATTAGAGGGTTAATTATATTTTTCAGCTTTCTTTGTGAGTTCTTGGCCTCTTAACAGGCCACTTAGTTTGGGTGGTTTGGAGCCATGGTTCAGCCATGATGTAAACGCAGCTCCATAAAGCTGCATATCCTGTAGAATAGTCCTGAATTTGTCCTATTTGCCTTTACAAATTTATGTAAAAAGTTGATTGTTACTGTTTCTTTTTTCAAAATCCCCTATCTTGGTTTGACCTGCTCTGACCTATGATAAGAGGTCAGAGTAAGTCAGAGGGCTTCAGTGTTTGTTTGACTTTTAAATGAACTTTAGTTTAATCCTCTGAGTAAAAGTGTGTAAAAGTGAATACTCCTGAGCAGGTTCTTGGGTAAAAGGTCAGGTCAGGTTTACTTGTCTGATTTTTCTCCTTTTCCCATCCATTTGATTACAGATGTGTTTTAGGCAAGCATCTCACTCATCTTAAAGATGTATATCTAATTTCCTCACCAGTTTCAGCTTAATTCAAGATAAACAGGCAAAATAATGGTATGTTATAAAGGTTCTTCATAGAGGAAGATACCTGAATTTAGACAAAAGAGAGACAATAGCTAGGGAAGGAGAGAGAAATTGAAACACGTTGGTGAACTCTCTTGTCCTGTAACATTCCCAGCTACCAAGAGCACTCATTGCTGAGTATTATATCGGTTTACAGCAACAGGACGAAGCATTAGTAGTTGATTAGTATCTTAAAATAGATTGAGCATACAGATTTGTTCTCTTCCACATGACTAGCTAGTAAGATGTTGAAACAAGAACCCTGTACGCTGACTTCATCCAAGCTGATGCCTACTCTGCTATGCAGGACTTTCTGTCCTACTCTGCACCAGGACTCTGTCTATGTGGGTCAGAAAAGAAAGAGATAAAATTCGAGCCTGTTTCTGAGCACTGCAGCAGTGAAGTGCTTCAGCTCTGGCACACAGTCTCTGCTGTTTCAGTTGGCTTATGCAGTGGTGAAGAAAGGCAGGAACAAAAGTTAAAAAAAAATCAATCTCATGTAATGTGAGAGAGAAAAGGAAATAAAAGTTATGCAGAGAGAATAAGACCTGAAAGAACTAACTTCATACCTCCCAGGGAGTGAAAGCAGAAGGATCCTTGCAGTTTCTGTGTTCGCATTGCTCCTTAATGGCATGAGCAATGGCATGGACTGCAAGTATAGTACTGTGGATAAATCCTGGTTCAATGCTGGCAATCAAAAAATTGTCTCTCCAGATCTGATGTCTATTCTCAGCATTTTGCATCAGATTCTCTTGGGATTGATTTGAAATGCACATTTGAAAATCGTGGTAATCCAGCTGTGCACAAAGTGACAAAAGCATAATATATTCACGTAAAAATTTATTGTTTTCGGTGGGCTTTTCACGAAGAGTTCTCAGAAAGTCATGAAATGTGGATATGTTTCCACTTTTAAATCCAAACCCCACAACAATTCCCAGCTGTTTGATATTGGGAATTGTACTGATTTTGACTGCAGTTGACCAATTATCACTTGCAATCCAAATTTTATTTACATTCTTCTCAATTGCCTTTTTAAATAGTTTGAGCACATGGAATTGTCTCATAAAGAGAACAATAACATTTACTCTGCTTTCCTTGACAATCTTCTCAATTGCTCGATCAACTTTGGCATTAAAAGTGTTGTCAGAGAGATAGGCAGGCAGCATTTCTTTAAAAGCTATGCAAACGTTGTTTCCCATGGCCTGGACCCCAAAGCTCTCCAGAGCAAGACGCCCGTTGTCATCATCAGTGGCTATCACTCCAATCCAGTTCCACCCAGACTCACAGATTAAGCGGGCCATTGCTCTAGTTTGATAGAAATCACTGGGGATAGTCCTTAGGAAGGAAGGAAACCTGATTTTGTCACTGAGGATTTCAGCAGATGATGCAGGACTGACCTACGAAGAGAGAACAATTCAGTTATGGAAGCAGAGTCATTCGGCATGACTCATGGTACCTCTCCTTAACCAGGAATGAAGCAGGTGTAGACAAATGGGTGGGTTTCCTTAACCCAGCTACTAGGAGGAAGATGCCTTCCCTGTAATTTTTTCTTGATAGCTACCATTTTTTCCTCTTGCCCCCAGTGACATTGGTGAAGGCCGAGTACAGAGTCTTTCAAAAGGGTATGACAACTATGCCAACATAAGAATTTTGTTTTAACCTGTCCAGATACCATCAACCCGCTATTCAAATCCATATGTAAATCATTAGAAACATTGAAATATTCTTTGAGTTATTCAAATGATTGGTAACTTTATATTTTGCAGTACTTTCTTCTATCACTGAGTATGCTATTATGTTCATCCACATATATCTTTTCTCTCCAAACATGAATTGCTACATTTTAAAAACATCATAGACTGTTCGAAGTATATCCCAGGGGAAAAAAAAAAGAAGGAAATAAGGAAGGGAGGAAGGAAGGGAGGAAGGGAGGAAGGGAGGAAGGGAGGAAGGGAGGAAGGGAGGAAGGGAGGAAGGGAGGAAGGGAGGAAGGGAGGAAGGGAGGAAGGGAGGAAGGGAGGAAGGGAGGAAGGGAGGAAGGGAGGAAGGGAGGAAGGGAGGAAGGGAGGAAGGGAGGAAGGGAGGAAGGGAGGAAGGGAGGAAGGGAGGAAGGAAGGAAGGAAGGAAGGAGGGAAGGAAGGAAGGAAGACTTAAATGGAAAAGTGCTATTTGAATCTATACAGGTTTTAATCTTTGTCTATGCTCTTTTCTAAGCTTTCCAAAATAAGAGGCACCTATCTCAAGGGGGTATCAAGTCTTAATGTTGTCAGAAGATTACAGAGGCTACTGAAGAGAAAAACTCTAATAGGTCACCTTTCCCATCCCTATGTTACAAGGCAGATTCCTTTCATCAGTTGCCTTTTGACTGAGTTCAAGTGAGGCATTTTAACTTAAAACCTGCAATAGCTCTTATGGTGGAACTGGAGGTCATAGTTACTTCCTACTACTGCAAAGGAGTAGATACAGTTATCTTAAGTCTTCTGCACATGTTTGGTTACTGTGATGCTACTTCACAGTAATGATAATTTACACCTCCATAAGGATATGCAACCAAATAGTGTGGAAGTGGTTTTACTTCTCAGTAGCATGTCCTGAGCAATTATAAACCCATATTTTCCACAGGAGTTGCCCAAGTTGCAGCAGCAATGTAAGCTCCAACCCAAGCGCAAGTGTGAGACTGTGCTCATTAATATTATTTCCTGTGTAAAGAGACAGTTAAAACAGGGAAGACTATTTTGAGATGGTATAGATACAGATCTGTACTACTTCTTTTCTACAACTGCATGAAGAGTAGCAGGAGCAAAATGGTCTTTCAGAGAAATATTCCTTACCTCCTGTGCATAGTTAGAACAGAGCTGGACTCCCAAATCCAATCTCTCTCTCAGGTAGGAGAGAATTTGCAAATTTCTGGCCAAATTAGATTTTGAGTTTCTTTCTGCCTGGCATAGAGCATTATCATATAATATACTCATTATCACCGCAGGCCAAATTAGTCATGGTCAGTTTGGCTGAGTGAATAAATACACTGAGTAGCATCAAAGGTGCTTTAGAGCAACTAACACATCCATATGGGATTAGTAAATGTGGTACAGGACCTACATCATCCCGGAACAGCACATATAGGCATCTACCTAGAGCATGTAAAAGAGAACTACATGCCTTTATTTGGGCAAGCATATCAAGCACTGTATTTGGAGCTGAATCTCACCCCTTCTGATGCCCTTAGGTGGAGTCCAATCCTGCCCTGTAATAAATATTGCAATCCCTACGATCAGAGCCATGTCTTCCTCTAACTATAGTAAATTTGACCCTCTGTTCAAAATGAAATCATTCCCTCAAACCTACCTGTGGAATTAGTTGCAAAGCCAATAGCCTTGAAACTGCCATTGACACCTCAGAGTAGCTGGCTCCAATGACTGCCTTAATTCTCGGAATGTAGTCTGAATAGTTACACTTGAATTCTACAATATCCTTAGAAGAATTGAATTTAGACAGGAACCTCAGAGCAGATGCCATGGCTTTTGTAACTTCTGCACAACTATCATAGATTTCATAGCCCAGAGTAACTCCATGTAACAAGGTAGAATTGTTGATCATTTCAATAGCATGTATCATTGCAAGTGTCTGAAGAAAAACTTGAATTTCAAAGCTGTCAGGAAACACAAAAGTTTTATTTTAGACAAACATCTTTGGGAACAAGACTGAAGCAAAGTCTATTTTGAGCATACCCCTTAAAGTCTGACAACTGCTGAAAAGAAATGATGAATAATAATATTTGGTGTATTTGGTATGTGATATAGTTACTTGTTTTTATTTTTGTGTCTGTGTGTGTAATAAAAGTTAGAAATCATGTATTTTGCTCTCATCTAAATGGGAGATCAAGCAAATCAGCACAAAACTCTAAATTCACCTCTATTAAAATTGTTGAAAAAAATTCTGAAAAAAAACAGGCACTAAAATCTGAATTTGCATGGTAAAAGAAATTTGCAAGTTATATTTTCAGAGTGTATCTGTCAAAATCAGTAAGGCTATTCCAATTTACTCCACCTGGTCCAATAGTCATTTTTTATTTTATGTTTTTACTTTCACCAAAGGCATGAAGTAAAGAAAACAAAGGACTAATAGAACTAAACGTTTCAGAGGCTGAGATTTTCTAGTGGTTGCGTGGAGGTTCCTAAAATCCTCTGTAAATATAGTGAAGGCAGTAGAGCTATTCCTCTTATCTTCAATGGATGTTAAAATATGTTTCTTATCAGAACTATGGTAGTACAAAATATCTGCAATACCACCAACAATCCTCTCAGACAAAGTTATCTATTTCTTTCAAGTCTTGCAAGCTACATTAAATTTCAAATGAATCTGGAACAATTTCTGGTTTTATGTAAAAATGATGGGAGGCTAACAAAATGACCAATTTTGTCATTATTTTGAAAAAAATCCAGATCAATGTCTGCATGTCTGGTTGATCATTAAATTCACAGGTAAGATGAAGATGCATCTAAAATTCAAATGAAACTTTATGGTTTTCACCTGTGTTGAAATTTAAGACAATGTGTATTTGGAATGCTTGGTTTATGAATATTAAGAAAATATTGGAGATATTTAAATTAACATTCTTCACCATATTATATTTGCATGATTTCCAAAAAATATTTTTAAAAAATCCAAGTGTAAGAGGATTTGAAGTCAACAAAATAATATTCTGATGCATAGTCTAAACTGAATGTGTACATGACATGGTATTTGTGCAATCTATCCTATAATTTAATGTCATTATTATTATTTGGGTAATGGTTACGTCTAGTCAGCAAAGTGCTATAAGAAATTTCAAGTGCTTTGCCCTGTAAAGTGAGAGTAAGAAGTGCTTAGATAAACCAGAGCAGTAGAGGTTTTTCTGTGTCCAGGTCATCTACTCAATTTCTTTACAAATAATCAAGATTGCACAATTGCACAGCAGAGTACTTCAGATAACAAGTTAACATCTACATGAAAATTAAATGAAAAGGGTTGTTCAGCTCAAACCTCCAAAGTTATATGATTATTTATAAAGATTGAGATAGGGATCAAAAACTCATTTCCTTCCTCAGGCAACCACAGTATTTTCTACTGTATGTATTCTGTGCTATGTTATGCACAATTTATTTGATGTCCAAGATCTTTTGAAGGACTAAGACACATAAGTGAAACTGATTTTTGTTGCTATTAACATGAAATGTAAATGCCCAATGTCAGTGTTTCTTTTTTTGATATTTGTGTAATCTGCAGTATTACTCACCTCGCACAATTCTGAATTACTGGCTTGATGGGATGTTCTTCTGGATGCAGCATTTCGCTATGAATGGCAAACAAGCCTCCAATGATGATGTCTCCTGGAGAACTGGCACCCACAAAGTCCTCTGTATTCTGGCAGGAGTAGACAACATCAGTGCTGATCACAAGGCAGGGAATCAACAAGCGAACTAATGCCATGTTGCTATTTCAGCTGCTTGCTACCAGCTCTAAGTCAATTAACCTTGCTGTGGTGCCAACCACACTGCTCCTATTTCCCCTGTAAACAGCAGCAAGGGAAACGGCTGCACTCAAAGTCAGTCACACTTCACAGGGTGCTCCTATCTGCTCAACTGGCTTAGGCTACTTCGCTGATGCTACCTAAAAAAGCAATGCTGGCACTTAAAATGTGTGTGTGTAAGGGTGTGGGAGAGAGAAGAGGGCGGGAAAGAGATAAATGAGTTTAAAAGGAAACGTTGGACATAAAATCTGTTCTGATCTGTTCAAAGATCATTACACTTTATATGAAACACATGGCAAATATTTTGGTATAAATTTGGGCTTGTCTTGAATACCTTTGAAATAAGCGCAGTGTGAGTATTACCAAAACCATGTTTTAAAGATATCGTTTAAAGAATATCAAAAAGAGACCCTTTCAGTACAGTTGACTTTTGACAAGGCACTGATCTAAAAAAAGAGCTATCAAAAGGTTGCATTTCTTTGAATCTCTATTTATTTATTCATTAATCTTTGCATAAAAAAAATGGTTTGGATAAGCTAATCTTCCTGGTTTGGGTTCATCCACAACTCTTACTAACTTCACTGGTTTTATAGCCAGGCTTTATGATAAGCCAGGCTTTGTTTGCTGCTTGCTAATCCAAAAGGCCAAAAAAAAAAAAAAAGTAGGAAAATATAATATAGATCCTATTTTTTGAAATGGTGGAGTACACTATTTTCCCCTTTGGCAAAGGATAGCCCTACATGTGTGGCCAATACTGAGCTTTGGAAGAATCAAGAGGCACCTATTCTCAGTACCATCATTTGGCTCAGATTCACAGGAATCTCATTTGTAAAATCTGATGCCATGGCAGTAGGGAACTGAGAGAAAAAAAAAGAAGCAGAGGCTGGATTATCAGCTTTTATAAACTCCAAGCACATGCACCAAAGTGAGGACATCTCTTTAGGACACAAAAGTGATCGATGCTGCCGAACTAGGCCAATTGACATGAGAGAATAATTTGAAAAAAATTGCTGTTTGAGAAATGGTATGTATGTTAACATGATGCATACTATATAACTGATCTGAATTAATGTACTTCGCACTTTTCTCACTAGGCTTTTCACATTTAGAGTATTCTTTTGCAGTAGAGATATTGCAAAGATGCGTGTTAATCTCCAGTAGAGTTACCATTCAGCCTCTGTTAAATACAACAGCTTGCCTGTCTTTCATCTGTTTTCTTTCTTTCCATGTGATACCCTTGTTGTCAGTTAAGCGAAGATAGTAAATAGCTATGAAAGAAAATACCTTTTCTTTATGTAGCTAAAAACACGCATTTATGGGCAAATTGTGATACCAATTTGTACTGCTTTTACACTGATTTGTAAAAATATCCCTTATTTCAAAGATATTCCTCTTGATTTATACCAGCATAAGTGTAATCAGACTCTGACCCTGAATTAAGAGCTGTACTAGCAAAATATTTTGCATAGGTATGCTTACATGGCAATTGCAACCTTTAATCCTGTTTAATCATAAATATTTGATATGGTGATGTTATGATCCACCTTCATTTGCCTGGTGCAGAGCAGAACTATTCTCTGTTTAAATAGCCTGTAATATATCATGTCTGGTGTTTCCTGGCTTACAGTGACCAGCTCCAGAAGAAGGAGGTAGAAAGCAGGAACAATCAACCCCGAATCTGTGCTCGGAAATCCCGGTTAGATCACATTCTCACATATCTCCTGAGACTTAGTCGGTGCTTCCCTGTCACAGTTCCTGCTCCTTTCCATTCGAGCAGTGTGCCCGAAAGTCTTGCTCCACCTAATCTGGAGTTTCCTTTTCCCTAATTTTAGTATGTAACTTCTTCTAAACCTCCTGACAAAATGAATCCTTATGCAGTTAAGGCATAAACTGGTTATTTCTCTAAAGCAGGCCACAAGGAATTGTTGGTATTATGCACCTAGTGTGAAATGTAACTTTTGAGAACCTACATTAAGTGCACACTAATCACATTAAGGAATCAATTGAAATACAGTACTGATAATTCCAGGGTTGAAGTTAGCTATAATTTATCATTAGAAGCAGGTAAGAAAATCTATTCTGGTCAGTAGCTAAAAAAGCCATTAATATCTATAGAAGAGGGCTGAACGTAGAAATCAAAATCCTAACTTGGACACTTCGGAAAGTGGAAGTTGACAAAGTAAACATCACATATAACTGGGCTGGTGCACAATTTCATGTTATTTATCAAAACACCATGAAATGAGGTATGCTTTAAATTTAGCTGCATTGCTTTAGTTCATTGGGTAAAATATATTCACAGGGAGTTTTGTTGTTGTTATTTTTTGCTGTCAAGACCAGTGCTGCTGGTGGTAAGTACTTAGAAACATTACTGAGATCAGCGTAGCCTAATACTACAGAATTAAAAGTTTTGGCAAATAACTCTGTTTTTTTCATTGATACTTAACAAACAAAAATAAGTCTGTAGTCCAAAATGTTCTTTTCTTAAAATTTAGTGATGCATTATTGTAACATCAGTACACTACCATAGTCACCTGTATAGGAGTTATTTCCTGGGATAAAAACACAAGAGTAGTTACCTTCATACTTCAAAAAGCACAGGTGGTGGAGAATCAAGCACAAGATTCATGGGAACTCTAGAAGTATCATTGTCTCTAGAAAGCAGAGTTTATGGGGCTGTGCAAAGACAGGGAAAAAAAAGCCAAACCTGAAGACATTCTGAGTCACAGATGAATTCTGAGAAGCTTTGGATGATCCGTATGGAGATCTCCTGTATGGATCTGTTAGTTTATCTGAATGCCCCAGAGCTATCTGCCACCATACCAAAATGCCTAATTACTTCTTCCATCTGGACTTCAGTTTCCCATTGAGAAGTACTAGAATAGGTGGGCATTGGAAGACAGCCCTGCCAAAATCAGCATTAATCTGGCAAATTCTTCTTCTAAATTCACAGCCCATAAGTTTTTGACAGCAGCCCCACACCTATTCTAAGGCTCCACAGTGCCATACACTTAAGAGAAGCAAGAGAGATTCGAGTAAGTAACTGAGTGCGTCCTCAGAATGCGAGTTTGGTAAGTGGACCATCTGCACCTCCCCTCTTTGCAGCATCTAAAACAGGGTGACTTATGGCCTTGGTGCAGAAGAAGGTTTTGAAACTGACAGGAGCTCAGTCAAACAGGGAGGAAACAAACATCAAGATTTTGGCTAAGCTTTTTATTCTTGCTATAGTCTTTAGTTAATGAGTTTCTAACAGAAATTGCTCTGTTTACAAAACAACATACAGCACAGAGCTAGATCATCGTCTAGGCATATGCAAAAAAGGAAGGAAAAGAAGGAAGAGATTTGGCTATTCTGTCTGTTATTCAGTGGAGCTAGAGAACCACACCTGCCAAGACCTGCCAGATGCAAAGGAGACTGCCCCGACTGGAGAACCCCGCAACATTTGAATAAAACCCTGCCATATGTAAGTAAGGTCATGTTTGTGTAAGTTAGGAGGGACACTGTCTCCACAGATTGTCCCATTGGAAGAAATAAGTCATAGACAAAGGAGGAAGAACCATTCTTTTAAATCCCCAGTTTGGATGTGTTATTTTCCCCATTCTGCCACTGACTTCTTGCATCTCTTTTGTACAGACTTCTACCATGACCTCCCAGCCTTACTTTGTCATTTATAGCCAATTTTCTGAAAGGTTCCAATTTTCTCTGAAAAGAATTAGAGCAAAAATGCTTTGAAACTCTAGGCTTAATCTTCCTTTGATTCATATCATACCTACAAAACAGGGAACAGAACAGTTCTTTCTTTCTATTTACATTGTAAACTCCTTAGAACAGCTACTGTCCTTAACTTGTGACAAGCACTCAGATTAAATAAGGTATTTGGATTCAAATAATAAATAACATAAAAGCAAGGGAAGAGAAAAACAGCTAAACTAATCCAGGTCCCAGTGTAAATAAGAGCTCTAAAAGAGAAACATGTCTTTCTCTTTGAGTGCACCACCAGAGCTCAAGAAGCAGCGTGTGTTCCCGTCAGCCTTCAAGGTTAGCCAAGTAGGAGGTGTCTGTTGAAGAAAGAATCACTTTTCAGAGAACTCTGACAGAAGCTGGCAATACTGTAAGTACTGTGGTTGCATAAGCCTTAACCAAGTAGGGAGCATTTCAGGAAAAATACCTGTTACTTCTGCCACCTCCCTCCTGAAAAGATAATATGGACTCCGTGTCATTGCATTGGCCAGTAGCCACCTCTCCATTTGTCTTTGTTTTGGGACAGTAAGCTGCATGTTTGAAAGGCTCCCAGGTAGCCTGGATGGAGGTCTTACTAAAGTCCATGGGAGCTGATGTTTGTCACAACCAAGACTGATAGGCTACTAGAAGACTAATCTACCAAACAGAAAGGTAAAATCAAATGTGAAGCTCAACATGTGCCTACAAGGAAAGTCTGGGAACATTCCAAAACCCAGAAGTATCAAGAAAAACCCATGTGAAAGTTTAAGAACACGTGATACTGAGCCTGAATCAGTGTGTGGCTTTTCCACAGTGATTTAACCAAAAAGTAATTTTGAAACAGTATTTTAAATGATCTCTTATGAGTAAGATTCAAGTGTGTGAAGCCATTTCATTTCCACCTAGATATCCATAACATAGACTACATGTATACCAATAAAGACAACAAGCTTGATGCCAAAGAAATAACACCCAGAGGAGGAAAGATTTATTACAGTTAGCAGTTTATTAGATTAATATCACTGTTAAATTTAACCCAATGGTTTTAGATTATTCAGTCTCTGTTTGGGAAATGTAGGCAGTGAAGCAGAAAAGAAGTAAGTAATTCATTATTTCTGTTATATTTTAGTTATATTAAAAAGCATTCTATTTACTGGCACCCTACTTATCTTAATATCAAATATTAAATTTTTAAAAACGGAAAGGAGAATGCCCCATTATTTTGATTCATTTCCTGATA